TGGACGACGGGTGGCTGCCACCATTTCCTACGCAAGTGGGAGGCGTACTTCACGGCCCCTTCTCCATGCAGCTCCTCTGCAACATGTGTGATCCGAGTTTGAGACACGGTGAGCTAAGCGCCGTGGCTTGGAAGGCTGCCGACTGACGCCCCAACTCAGTCTACGCAGTTTGCCCAGCTATGTGCGTGTTTGTGTGGAGGCGGGCTGGTGAGCTGAGAGCCAAGCTATCACGTCTCCGTCTTAACTGGTCTGTGACACTCACGCATGTGAGAGGTGTGCGTGTATGCTTTACGGGTAGTTCCTCTCAGTCGAAGACTGGTTTGTCACCCGGCCTTGAAAGGTGACGGCCCAGGCAAGTGCGGGGCCATGCGTTGCCCTTCTGGGCCTAAAGGTATATAAGCGTCTCCTATGCCAGCATCAGCGAACTGTCGCTCCCCGCAGCCTAGTATGCGCTGGCAGTTCTCCGGCACCTGGTTCCCTGTCGGTAGATGCGTTTGCGCTCCCGCTGGGTATACAGGCCGTGAGCATGACTGCCCAGTCATCCTCGTCCTTCTGACCCGCTGTGGTGTTGCTGTTGTCGGTTAAAATCCTGGTCAGTTGTTGTGTGGACCAGGGGCTGTGGAGTGGGGCGCCAAGGTGCGGGATCGGTCGCGCCATCCACCTGCGCCCTCGCCCGCCTCCGGTCTTCTTGATTATATCTTGACACCGGGCTCAGGAGGAGGAGGAGGAGGAGGAGGAGGAGGAGGAGGAGGAGGCGGCGACATTGCGGTAGATGCAGCGCAAGTCTACAATCCCCATAAATCAGCTCACACGCACGTCACCGTGCCTGCTTCACCTTGCTGTGAAGCACAGGGTGGACATCGTTGGCAACGACGGTCGAACTGTTAGTTGGCTGCACGGAGCGACGCTTTCTGCATGCCATGGCTTATGAATACCAAAATAAAACGAGGTGTGGAGTGGAGCGTCAAGGTGGATGCTCGGTCGCGCTATCCACCCTCACTCTCCCCCACCTCCGGTTTTCTTGGCCTCGTCTTGACACCGGGTCTAGTTGGGGGAGGAGGAGACGGTGCGGTAGATACAGCGCAAATCTACACTCACTATAAACTAATTCACACGCAAGTCACCGTGCCTGCCTCATCCTGCTTTATCCTTTTTTCGCATGCGCCGGACGTGGTTGACCCCTGCCTAGGTCACATGATACAGCTCCACCCGTTCGGGGAGGAGAATCATGAAAAAGAACAGGTGAGCAAATAGACAAACATGTCTACCTGAATAGTCAATAGAGAGCGCATGATAAGTTCCCGATGTGTCCGAATCTGGAAGGTCCAAAGGCGAATACGCATGAGCTCGTCGGCGGTGAAATCCAGGCTGAGACGCCCCTCCACCACCACGGTGACAGGAAGGGGACGGACGATGTTCATGACCATATTGGCGCAGTCTGAGTCGAGGGTGAGGACGGGATTATGAAAGGAGTCACGAGTGGCCCGCAGGTTGAAGTACAACTCGCCGCAGCCACTTTCAAATATGCTCCGAAAATAGCGCGGAATTAGAGTTCGACCTACGGCTGAGGGGAAGAAAGGTAGATAGAGGAACGCGAAGAGAGGAGGACTTACTGAAACGTTTC